TCCGGGACTGGAGAAGCAGGTGCCGCTGACTGGAGACGTTCCGGAACTGGGGAGGCAGGTGCTGCTGACTGGTAGCGGGATCGTGTCATGCGAGTGGTCCGCCACAGCTAGACCCAAATATTCATCTGGGCCCTCACAGTCGTTTGCACCAAGAACCTCACATTCATTCGACATCGGCTTGAATTGTTGTATCATCTTTCTCCGTTGACTTCGCTTTCGTTATCGTTCTGCACGGGAACACATATTTTGAGGGGTTGGATTTTGCTACCCGCATAACTCTGGACCCTTCAAAAGCCCATATCGTTTCGAATCGTGCTTCTTGTTGGGGTTTGCCGCGAGGAGGTGACGTGGTCAAAGGTCGGGCAGTCTGCAAGAATTTCACATCGCTTCCTTACTGTAATGACTGTTACGACTTCAAGGATTTTTGCTTTCGTGTATCGTTTGGTGTATCTTTATGGATTAACTTTGTCTTCCACTTGGGATATAAAATGCGTCTTTACTTTTTTAGAACTTAACAAGATGATCTATAATCCGCGGTCTTCTCCCCGAAAGTTTCCAATTCCCATTCCATCGGGTTACCCGAATGTGTTATTGTTTTAGTGTTCTGCTATCCCAATCATCAGAGCATCGTTTTCTGATACTTACCACAACTAGGTACGCTGCTGGTTGGCTTTTTCTCGTGTCTCTATCCACGTATGGTAGGGCATTCCTACATCAGCATTCGAGCCTCGAGAACTCTCCCTTTGATATTCACGGTCTTGTACATTCACACTTCTATTTGAGCTATTCTCATCCTTCTTTCCCATGCTTCGGCGGGTTCGTGTACTTATTCTGACCTTGGCCCGACATGCTTACCCAGGACTACCCAGGACTACCCAAGAGCGCTCAAACTTCCCTGCTTCGATATCCTCGGAAGTGAGGTCTTTTCGCAAAATATGCCAAAATGCTTTGACAATAGCATGAGATGAGAAGAGAAGCGTTCGGAGCGGCGCCCTTTACGAAACATCGGGTATAGACAATCAATACCGTTTAGGACTTGTAGATGTATGCTGTGAACATCACTTTCCGAAATAAACAATCTATTGAAGGCTGGCATAGGTTCGAGAAATTGCTGTGCGCGCAATGCGCTACTTGTATCGGCCTAACATCGTCTGTCAGAGTAGACGTGAACAAAGGACAGCCAAGGCAAGTCAAGTCATTCGATGATTAATGGTCCGGCGAGAGAGAGGCCAAGCCGGTGCTCTGGAAGTGAATATGAACGAGGAAAAGCGGGAATTCTTTCTCGTGGTAAGTACCGCTACCTTGGCATCTAGTATGCCGGTGCAACGACGAATAAATTCGTCAGTTAATTCAAGCGGTTAAAATTCGAACGACGCAGGGTATGTGAGAGTCACAGTTGATGAATGCTTGCGTGGGTGAGAACTCGCTTAGAGCGTCGAATATCCTTCTGAGTAACTCACTTGGCGGAATTTGCAGATGTCCCCAAGCACTGTTACTTACCCACCAAATGTCTGCGAGAGATCCGAGGCGCAAGAGCTATCGTTCGAATGACGTTCGAATGACGCTCAACCTTACCAGTCATCCATGCAACTATAATTTTGGGTATGCTGAATTGCACGGAACGCCTGGGATAAAGCTATGGGGGGAAGGAAGACGCAGACATGTATAGTAATCCATGGCCGCCTGAGGAATAAGCGTGAGTGATATTCTGTATTCTGACCGCAAAGCTCACGGGATCCTCTTTCTAGTCGATTTGTGTCGAAGTCAGATTGAGGTTGTTTGAAGTGAGTCAGCACACACGAGCATTTATTGATTTGTATACTTATCGAGTCAACACCGATCGAACCACACCTCCGCTCTTTCCTTAATGCTGCTGCCTTGAGGCTTCCCAACACCAGAAGCCCCCCAGAAATTACCATCTAAAGCAAATCCCACAGCTATACCATCCCTTATCACAAACTCGGCGGTCATGTCCTTCCCCGTTATCTCGTAATTCATCCAATAGGGCTTGGATGAATCGTTAGTTGGCTAAACAAACATTCAGTCAAGATTTCGGTATCTGTCTCTGTTCTCAAGCTCACCAGACTTCGAGGAAGTAAAACTTTGAACGTATCCCGCTCCATGTGGGTCAGGACAATATGGGTCGTCCATACTCTGTCCCATCTCGCCCACAAGAACGGCATATCAATTTCCGTCAAATCAGGGAGTTCCTCCACCTTTTGGGTTGCCAATGAAAAAGTGAGTGTCCCATATGCGGGATTGTTATATTTACCCTCCGCAAGCTGAGAAAAAGGAATAGAAGGAGAGATTCGAGGTTCAGATATGAATTTACGAGCTTCCTTTTGAGAGTTGAAGGATGAAATGACTTCCTCTTTATATCTACGCGGTCGCTTGTAGTTAATTCGCAAATTTAGAGAGTATAGGTACATGCCTACCTTGTATTCCAATCGATCGTTTCGAGCCCAAGTATGGTATCCACTAGGTGGTATTTAATTATCTCCATAATGTAACTTCCCATATCACCATCATTTGAGAGAACCGCAATTCCAAGATTATCATTTGGGAATCGGGACACGACAGCAGTGAAGCCTGGATTGTCTCCTGTGTGCTAAAAACCGATTCTGCCGTTCAACAAGTGCCTGCATTGACGGCAGCAAGACATACCTCTATTAATACTGGGGGAATTGCACGTGAGAGACAAATCAAGCCTTGCAGAAAGACCAAGCGTACAATGCCCTCGATAAGACTTGGTAAATAACCCGGCTCCATATACCGACGGAGAAAATTCTGGATATTGACTAGAGCTTCACAGTCAGCTAGTATGAGAGCTACAGCCTAGAAACTCACATAGGAGCCGTTACAGCTGTGATGCTACTGGAAACTTTCTTGATAACTTCTCGAGGAATAATTTGTTCTCCGGTGAGCGGATGGCTTCCTTCAAGGAGCAAAACTTGAAGCCATATCGCCTGTTCAAATAATCAAATGGATATCACGACAGAATTACTTATCGCCTACCATATCAGCGGCACTAGTAATTACTCCGCCAGGGCCCAATCTAACTATAAGCCCAGGTCGGGATTGAGGTCATCACATTCTGAAGAAACATGCGTACTGCTATTGGCCTCTCCGCTTGAAGGTGCAGCATGAGGCATTGCCCTTGGCGTACCCCCGAATACATCATCTTCACGTCTTGTACTGTGGTCCTTCTTGAATCCATCTGCCAAAGCTGGGCGATTCGTTGCATAACTTGTCGCATTCATGCCCAGAGGATTAAAGATCTTTTCCTGAACAAACTGAGGGAACGGTTTCCCATACAATACTTCTGGAAGATAAGAAACGGTCATGTACATGAGGTTATTGTACTGCTGTGTCTCGCGAAATTCTGAAGAAGGGCGTAAATGTTTCATTTTCTCCAGCTGTAAGTCGCCAGCCGTTCAGGGTTAATCCATATGGAATTTTTCAGGTAACGTACTAAGGATGCCCTAGTATCATCGAGCGCATACACATTTTCGTGCCGAGGAAGACCCGTTCTATGGCTGAGCATATCAACGATAGTGGTTTCTGACGACGCAATAGGGTCTTGAAGCTTCCATTCGGGTAAAATTGTATGAATCTTCGAGTTCCAAGATAGACGAGGAGACAATGTCTCATCCGATATCAAGATACCAGTTGCGATGGCCGTAACTAGCTGATAAAAATGACTATCCAAATACACATAGATCCCTGATGTAACGAACCTTGGAATTCGAGGCAATAGCAAACAGAGTATTTTCGTCTACTTTGGTGCCGTCTGATTTGGCTGTACCATAACCTTTGGTCTCTACAGTCCAAGCACCGCTGTCGTCTCTTCGAACAAGCGCGATGGAGAGTCCTCCTGGAGACTTCCACTCACGAAGGATGTCCTGAATAAATTCATCTACGGCAGATGCTGAAAGGATGGACTTCATCGCGTTCTCGCGGCTTCTTGATGATTACACTACGAGGAATAGACCACTGAGGCCCAGTGGAAGTATTCAATTAACGCGTGATACTTCGGGCCGAAATTCCGGATACGCGTCCTGAACGCGTTTTATCAAGGATACATCCTGCAGATTTTTGCCCTTATTTTACTACTGTAGCCAGCTCCACGCATGTAGCTGATATTCAGAGCCATGTGGTAATTGTTCGGTGCAGAGAGCCGCAGAACAATCAGGCCTCAGGTTCAACACCTACGCCTCGCGAGTCAAAGAGTCAACTGACAGTCTCCGGAGCCGGTCGTTCTTCTTTGTCCGTTTCCTCGACCTTAGGCTTGACTACCTCTTCATCGGCCTAGGAAATCCAGAAAGGCAGTATTCACAGTAACTTCGTCATCTCATGATCATCGGAGAGTCGCATGCATGTTATAGCCTAGTACCTCGTCGGCTGGGGTTTTTATGCGACGTTCTGAAAGTAAAACGTCCCGAAGATCGAATCTTTTATCCTTCTACTTAGTCACATCTTCTTGGCTTGGGATTTTCTGGGTCTTCACTCTTCTTCTCGAGTCCGAGTCTGTGGACTGTGGCTGCACTTGCAAAAGTACTCCTAGTCTGGTATATAAAATTTTGGGAGGGACTGATTGAAGATATTCTCGTGTTCCTTACCTCGGAACGCCCAAAGTCTATTCTAGGAATTCAAAGTCTCGATCGGAGCAAGTCAAGATCTTGAATTTTCGAGCCAGTGGTCGTCACCTGGTAGACTATCCAGTCCCAGAGGATGCGCGAATCAGACTTCTTGAACATTCAAGTTGGGTCGGGGGTCACTTTTGGAACTGGAAGGATTTCGCGACGACATCATAACACAGTAGGTACTTCCACGGTCTGGGCATCATAGGTAGATTGGCTTGCCGTGGTTGAGCATTGAGATCTTGAGACTAGACTCCAAAGACATTCTTCATTCTTAAGACCGGAAATCCTAAAATCATAAGAACCCGGTCAAAAACGTATGAAAAGGTCCAGGTTGACATGCACCTCGACATAACTAATGTCCCTGTCGATTAGTGGTCAAATCATCACGTTGTGGTAACTAACGCAGCTGCAAACCGTGAAGCCGGGAGCTCGAATCTCCCCAGGGACAATGGATGGGTACTGTTTTCGGGTTTTTTATTTTCTCGCCATGGCCTCGCAACCTTTTTAGCTAACTCGTTAAAAGTGCAGAATGATTATCCGGGTATATAATAGGTAAAAGGTAACGTCGTTACTGACGGCACACAACCATCGAGGTGCTCGCGAAAGAAGCAGACGTAGAATGAAAATGAAAACACCCGTATATCATCAAATGTCCTTTCACGATCGAGGTAATTAAAGTATGAAAGAAAAAAAGTCCGATTCAAACAAAATCTCCATCTCCTTACGAAACAATCAATGCAACAGTACCCAAGACTAAAGCTCCCATCATCCCAAGCACTACACTAGCTCCGCCCTTTACACCTTGTGCGGCATTGGACGATGAACCCGAGCCCGAGCTCGTACCGCTAGTGCTAGAAGATGAAGAGCCTGAAGCAGACTTGGTGCCCGTTGCCGAGCCGGATGACCCAGCGGATGAAGTAGGTGCGACCGAGACGAGGTTCTTGACTGTGGACCACGAGGCGCTAGAGTCCGACGAAGAGTTGGTATACGGGATCCAGTTGACTGCGCCAGAGGAGGTCAGTTGAACGATGGCAGCGTCCGAGGCAAAGTAGGTTGCGGAAGAGTCTTTGGTAGAAGGTCCAGCCATTGAAGTGGTTGTATTCGACTACAGAATGAATTAAGGGATGGGTATGGAGGAAATGAGAAATGAAACTCGTACGATAACGTCAATGATATAGGTGGCGGATCCGTCGTCAGGGATGAAAGCGAAAGCTTGTTGGACCTGTACGAGAACAGAGTTCTAGGCTGCACGAACGACCATAAGGAGAAATTGCATACCTGTCCGTTGGACGTGGGCTGGAAGATTGATGCCGTCTGACCATGTTGAGCGGGGAAGTTGCCATATGGCTGAGATTGCGGCTGGAAGTACGAGACTGCAGGGAGAGTTCGTAAATGCGGCGATGTAAAAGGACGGGTAGTCCCAGAACCCAGGTTACTCACAGTGAATAACAAAGATATCTGCGCTACCCGCAGCCACACCAGGGACGTCTAAGAAGTGAACGTGGTTGTTGGCAAGAGCCATGACGGGTTGGTAGTTTGTAGTGTCAAAGCCGGCTTTTTCAACATCGGTCCAAGCGATGCTACTAGATGAAGCGGAGGTGGTAAGATTGGTGAAGCTGAGGAACCAGAGTTCGCCAGCGTCGGATAGGGCATCTGGAAGGATTAGGAATAAGCTGGAAGAAGACGGGCCCAAAAAGTTGCTCACAGAAAACGTTTGTATCGTGGTCAAGAATAGCAGAGAAACCATCGGGACCACCGGTGGTAGTTTGGGTAGTCCATGATTTTTTGGAAGGGTCAAAGATGTGCACATTGTTCGGGTTGGAGTTGTCACCGTTGAGGACGTAGATTGCGTTGTAGAACTGGAGTATGAAAGTGAATACGGGTCAAGCTGGATTAACAATGGCAATACCTGAGAAAGATAGCAGGTGGTATTGGAAGCGTCGAAAGGTCTGCAAAAAAGAGCCAGTCACTGAACAGTCCCCTGAATGGAGCATTACACTCACGGTCTCCCAGAAGCAGTGACATCCGACGCAGTGCCTGACCGACGGATAGTGAGTTTCAAGAATGAATTTCATGACGGACAAAAGACATTACCTGAGCCCCATGAATCTGAAGTACCAGCATTATAATCCTTTCCGTTGAAGCCAAAAGCGTACAAGTTGAAGGAAGCGTCAAAGGCTACACAAGGAGTTGCTTGGGCATTGTGAACGAAGCCACTGAAAGCAACGAAGAGGGGCAAAAGAGAGACGAGGGTTAGCAGGCGGGACATGGGTGGGGTTGGAAAAAAAAAGAGTGGAGTGTGTAGAAGGAGTGAAAGAAGCGTAACGCCGTCACCACACCTGAATGATCGCCGTTACTCATCGGTTAAAAATAGACTAAGAAGAGTACACAACCTGGTTCAGAGATGGTCGTTGAGGTCGTTGAGAGAAAGCTAGTACAGTCTATCTATAGCTTTTTAACGCCAATGCCAAGTGACATCCAGGTACTACCGTCAATCCATTGCCTAGTCAAAAAAAGGGAATTTATATTCATAGCAGACAGCTAATAAAAACACTCGTCCTCCTCGTCACCTGTGCGATTCGAACACACGCGGGCAAAGCCCAACCGCTGGACTGCTAAGTAGCAGGCGATCCCGTTAACCACTCCGGCAAAGTGACCCTATACTGCTCAAGGGAGCGTTGAACACTGCCAAGAAGGAATGAATACCTGACGATAGTTGCGCCAAACACAAGTAAGACTGAGGATTGAACATCCTTCGCGTGATTACGGAAAGTGGTAAATGAGTCGGAGCTTATGCGTTGCTTCCAGGGTGGTCCAAAAAAAAAGGCTACTCAAAGAATATGCATTGTCCCTGGGGAGATTCGAGCTCCCGGCTTCACGGTTTGCAGCTGTACCACAACGTGATGATTTGACCACTAATCGACAGGGACATTATTGAATGGTGTCAATGTATCTATGGGATCCAAGGCGGCAAATTGCTAATGTAACGGAGAGAATTCCACATTCAAATCAATATCCTCGAGCTCTAGACTTGAATAGTTTCATTTATTGCAAAAAATCATGACAAGTCGTAACAAGTCGTGAGGGGTTCGTTAATACAAATGAAAAAACTCCAAGACCAAAAAGGTAAAAACAGTATGCCACACAATACACAAGCCATGGAAAGGTAGAAATAGGTAGCAACAGGTTGGAGGAGGGATGAATGGCACAATTGTGGAGCGGTGGCGGCAGGATGGGAGTTGTTGTAAGATGGTGACGATGATGAATGCAGATGATAAATAATGCAAAAAAGCAAAGGCCGCAAATACAGGACAGCAAAAAAATAACAAAGCATGATGGAATGGGGCAAAAAGTCGAACGCGCATTAAACATTCGGTGGTTTATTTATTATGACCTTTCCTCAGCGGAACTGGGTGGCCGTGAGTTTGCACCTCCTGCGCTTTCGCTTTGCCCTCTCGGTCTTGCATCTGATAATGCGGAAGGTGACCTTTTCGGTAATGATAAATCATCTTGCGAGCCTTTGGAGAAAAAATCGTCTTCGCCTTCATAGGGTGACGATGATGCATTTATCTGAATAGCGAGACAGGGTTGGAATAACCACAAAGCGAAGACGACGGACATGAACGTACCCACTGCCCCAAAACATCAGCAACCCTCGCAGCCTCTTCTGGACTAAACCGACATTCTGTTCCCTTCTCCGCGTGTAGCCTCAACAATTCACTCAGAGACCTCTTCCCCTTGGCTCCATTCTTCGGTGTTGCATCGACGCCATCAGCCGCGTCGCCTTCAGCTGGAAAGGCTACCGAATTTCGTGGTGTTTTTGTCGAAAGATCAGCTATACTAAGATCACCCTCATTCAACATGAGTGACCGATCCCAGTCCTCGCTTTGTGAGCCGTTGGAGTGAATAGATAGTTGTGACATGGAGCGGGAAAAGTCAGAGGAGGCGTCGACGTCTAGCAAGGAAGGCATGATAAGAAGAGTGGTGAGGCTCGTGAATTAATCGGGGTGGAGAGTGATAAATTCGTGTCCAGTCTGGCAGCTGAATAAGACTTCTAAGTCAGATATCTAAACTGAACAAGACATGAGTGGCTTGGAATGGCGATGAAAGGACAGAAAGCTGACAGAGATTATTATAAAGTAAAGTCATAAAATGAAATGCTCAAAGTCAAAGACGACGAGCAAATAGAGAGAATGGGAAAAGGGACGAGTAAATAAATGCGCTGGTGGCGGTTTTGATTCCGACAACTCTCACGCGAAATCAACAAAAATGCTATTATGGGCGCTTTGTCACGAGTATACATAAGCGCCCATTATGTTCAGTCAGGTCAAAGTTCGAATCAACACCATAGTCACTTTGCCGGAGTGGTTAACGGGATCGCCTGCTACACAGCAGCTCAGCGGTTGGGCTTTGCCCGCGTGTGTTCGAATCGCACAGGTGACGATTTGGCGATGGCGTTGTAATTTTTCCAATTTTTTTTCAATAATGAATTATCAACATCTGACCAGCTGAACTTCCTCAATTGCCTTTTCTGCCGTCCAGGACCTCGTGTACCATCAATTTCACAGTCCTAGTTCGACATCCAATGTTTTTGTGATTCATGTACTAAGTATACAACGTCAAGTTTATCAATCCACGTATCAACTTGTCATCCTACTAAGGCAAGCACTGGCTGTAATACGCGTTAATCACAGTGCAAGTCGTACCGGCAACGCAAGCCGTAGGTCCTGTCCAACCGATCCCTCCGCTACATGGTGTTCATCAGACAGGAAGTAACAAATCTCGCGAGACTTACCATTGACCCCATTCAGCTGAGGTTCCCCCCGTACCAGTACCGCCTCCTGTACCAGTGCCGCCTCCCGTACCTGTGCCACCTCCAGTACCCGTACCACCTCCAGTACCTGTACCACCCCCCGTACCAGTCGACCCGCTATGCAGAGGATAAGTGGCGTTCCAAAATAATACTGCAAGCTACATACGTGATACCGAACCACGCCAAATCGATAGTCTCATGAACCGGGACAGTATGACCAACCCCAGCGGCCGAATATCCGACGACTTGAGACCCGTACGTGGTCATCGTGTATCCACTTTGCGGATCATTAGCCGTGGTAGTAGTCGCTGTTTGCGATAAACCAAAGACATTGGTCCATTCTTTGATTTCTTCGCCATAGTTGGGGTAGTAGAGCGTCGTATCGGCTGTTCCGTGCCAGAGCATCATCTTTGGACGTGAGCCTATTAATTAATCAAGACATCAATGCGAGAAGTAGGTTGTTTGGAAAGGCTGCCTCACCTGTGTAGCCAGAATAAGCAGCTCGGACTTGGTCACCCTATATATTCGTTAGTTCTCTGCCGATTATCCCTGTTAAGAGCGTCCTTACCCATTGCTGAGCAGTCTTGATGAGTTGACCTTCGGCACACTGCGAGTTCCAGTCGCTTGATCCCGCGAAACATCCAAACGGTACACCAGAGTATGCAGAGGCGGCCGCGAAAAGTTCTGGGTAAGAACCAGCCATGACATTGGTCATCATAGCTAGGTACTGTAAGTCAGCCGCACATTTTTCAAATAATCAGAGTACCTACCTCCAGAAGAAGTTCCAGTGACAAATACTTTGCTCGCGTCTACTCCGTAGTGACTAATCTATTGAAAATGTACATTAATGCTTCTTTCAACGCCAGTAAGTTACTTACAGCGTAGGTGACCATCGAAGCGATACCTTGCGAATCGCCTCCACCATTGTGACTCAACGTCTGAGGTGTATTGACGTCGAAACAGCCTCCACTTCTCGGAGAGTTGGGATAGATGACCAAGAATCCGTACTGGTCTGCGAGGTTGGCATACTGGGTGCCCTGGAAGTACGCTTGGGCTGTTCCAGTACAGTAGTGAATAGCGACAATGAGAGGCAGAGGAGAAGCAAGTTTGGCGGGTTTGTACAGGAACATGCCCACATTATTGGGATTTGCACCGAAAGTACCACTTGCTATCTGCGTCAAGGGCTGCGTAGCGCCATTGACGAAAGTGGTCCACGATGAGAGGAGCACGGCCAAAGCAGGAAGAGCAAACCTAAGCATGTTTCCTTCGATGTTTGTTGGATATTGAGCGACATTTTATACTACAGCATTTTCCTTCGTCCATATCGATGTTCCACCGTTCACGACGCGCCAAGACTTCCAGATAGATCATCTGAGCGTGCAATACTGTAATAATGAACGGTTTACTCGCGTGAACTCCGCCAAGCGAACGCTTGCAGCGTTTAATTCCCATTAAATCAACATAAACTAAGGGGAAGAGAATATAACGGCCTTTCTTCGCGTACTTCCGTTTCCGAAGTTTTGCAAGAAGAATGGCCTCGAAGGAGAACATCAAGCGAACAGCCGGTGCAAATCAAGCTCCCTGTCAAGCATTCTGTGGCTGCAAAACCGATGAGTGAAAGCCTGCCGGGGTCTGGCGAAAACTTGGAGAATCGAACAGCGTAAAGCATCTATTTCCCTTTGCATCTACTCATCATCCGAATCAGATAGCGGGGGCTGTTTTGAAGAGACTTTCTCCGAGATTGCTTCCTCGACATACTCTCGCTTTCCCCCGCATACCCTTGATCCGGAGTCATCTTCACTTCCAGAAACACTAGTACGTTTTTCTCCATCCTCATCTCCATCCTCACCATCGTCATCTTCTCCTGAGCTTTCCTGCCGTCGATGATTTGGGTTTTTGAATAAGAGATCTTCACCATCAAGACCGAAGTCGGACGAGTTGATATGTGCGTCTAGCGTAGGGAACGTCTGCATGAGCCAAACACGGTAAAGAAAGAAAAAGCACTGACTCTTCTCTCTCCTCGATTCCTCCCAGCTATTTTCCAACTCATCGATGACCTGATCCTGAGCCGCGCTAACTTCAGCTGCGGTGGTACATTTTTTATATTTTTCCAGAAAAGGTCTGAGTTTGGCTGGTTGGTAAGGAAGGACGAAAAGTCAAATTTTTACCCACCGATTAACCTGATAAAATGACCCTCCCCATCCAAATCCAGCCAACAACGTCTCTGCATAAGAATCAAAACCAGTGATGTAAAAAGCTGCAGCGAGAGCTTCAACACAGTTTAACCTCCATGGTTTACCATAGTTGGTGGGATTAGTTGCGATGAGGTAAGGTACTAATATAATGATATTGGCATTAGGAAGAAGCAGGACAGTCGCAGGTAAAACTCTCTCCAAAATTACGCACATAACCTTTCGTGAGGACTAGCGATCTTTCCAAATGGAACGTCGTCTAGACGTGCCCAGGAGCATTCGACGACAGCGAGACCGCTTTGAAATATGATATCTCGGTCTGAAGGGGAAATTACTTGAGTTCCCTTAGGTCTTTAGGAATCATCGAAGCGAAGGGTCAGAGATCAACGTGAGTAACGGAAAGTCGAAAACTCACGTAACGACGATGCCTCTGAACCTTCCCTGACCGACTTTCATTTCTTTTATAAGTCCTAGTCTCGCGAGTTTCTTGCCTGAACATCTTCGTGGGTCACAGTGGTCGAAATCCTAGATAGATACATTACCCGGAGCACTGCCAATCATAAGTCATACTCACCCACATAGCTACGGGAACGTCTATTCGCCTTTTTCTGGGTGAGGAATTTTTATCCAAATCGGAGGCTGGAAGGAAGAAGTGAAATTATGCCACAAAGCGATAGATGGAAACGTACAGCTTGTGCTAGCAGTTGTATCCTCATCTGAAGAATCATTGTTATCATCGATAATACTCTCCGGCTTTCCGTCATTATCAACATATCGTTCATATCGCTCCGTCACACCTCTGGTAGTTCCACTGTGTCCTTTTCCTTTTCCTCTTCCCCGTCCACCTCGTCCACCTCTCCCGCGTCTCGACGGGATTGCTGTGAAATCGGAGTTGTTTTTACGACCCATTCAATAGACAGTCGTGGTGAAGAAAAACCGGCTGAAATAAGCGCTTATCAATGTAGAGTAGTGCAAAAACAAAAATTCAGACAATCAATCAGAACATACACCGTTCGGGAATCGAACCCGAGCCGCTTGCTCACGTGTGTGGTGTGGCGTCCGCATGGAAGGCAAGCATGATAACCACTTCACCAACGGTGTATAATTTTATATGACTGTTTTACTGAATACCTGTTAATTCAGCAGTGACTGTTACGAGTAGTATATATACGTCAAATATACATCAAGCAGAAATGGTAAATTCGAACTAAAGTAAAAGAGGAACCGAGTTACATGGCAGTCAAGTCTTTATCTAGACTATAATTACCTCCCCCCAGAAGAAAAAGAATTACTGCCTCGCCTTGATCAATATGGGCATTTGTTTGCCCTCTGTTGAGCAGACTTGTCAGTCTTGAGCTTCACCACCAACCGCACCGTAAGACTTACCCTTCCACTTGTTCCTCTTCATTGGCAAGATCAGACCGAACGGTACCGCTTGGACTTCGTCCAACTCTCCGGAAGGCGGGGGTGAAATCTCAAACTTCTCAAGTAGGCCGAACAAGAGGGCTTGAAGTTCCATGATGCTGAAGTCGTGAAAAGATGAGAATCTTACAGTGAGGGAGTTTGCAAGATGACTTGCGCGAAACGCCATCCAATGCAAGCCCGGATGCCTGCGCCTAGCACAATCAGCATGGTCAGCTAATGAGATTCTCTTTGGCATTCGACTGATCCCTCACTAAAAGTCAACCTGTTATGACGGTAAATAACTAGCTTTCAAGGCGAAGGATATTTATTGTATGGCACCCACAAATTGGCATAAACACCCAAAGTAGTGGTCTTCCTGGATGGTTCGAGGAATCGTTCTGGATTCCAGATTTCCGCATCTTGACCCCAAATCTGAGGGAGTCTAAGGCGCACCAGTCAACCTGATGATCTCGCAAACAAAGGAAACCCTCAGGCTCACTTGTTATACATGGCAATGTTAATGGTTATTCTCTGTGCCTTGCTGATGGGGATCTGAGAAATCAAGTCTCCCGAAACGCTGGTCACTGGGAACTCAAGGGGAATGACGTCGTCCGACTGGGCTTCGCGAGTGAGATTCGAAACCTATAGCCAGATATAAGCAGTAGAAGTATACGAGAACATGAAAGAGCTTACAATAGGGTAACATCTCAGGGTTTCCTAAAATTGATGGTCAAAGCCAAGCTTTAGTCGCCACGACTCCAAAAAGTACCTTGATAACCGCATTGAAAAACGGCATGGAATCCAGATCCTGTGCAGTGGGATCGTTCACTCCAATGCGCTCACGCGTTTCTCGGATTTCCTGATAAAGGCGGGCTTGACACTTGGGATTCTTGGCAAGCTCGTACAGTATCCATGTCTGGATTTTGCGTCAGTCTGATTTTAAAACTCGTTCGGGAGGTTTTTACCGTCGTGCTAGCGGTCGTTTCGTGTCCTATAAGCAGCGTTCAAACAATGAGCATTTCTTCAAATTAAAAGAAGCCTGCTCGTTACCTGCGATGATGAAAGTGCTGAATCGATAACGTGAGGATCATGGTCATTGATAGACGCTGTATGCTGCTTACGCTATTTGGGAAAGGACTTCATGCTCGCTCATTGCTTTCTTCTCATCGTCCTCCTGATTAGCGCGGACAAGAATGCTCAGAATATCTTTGTTATCCTCTTCGGCAAGTTTTTCCCTGGTGCCTCTCTCGAGAATAGGCCTGCCGACTCTCTTCGATGCGTTCAAGAAACCCAAAAATCTTTTCTCCTCTTTCGAAGGAAATTTCAGGAGGAAATTCGCGAGGGGTTCGGGTAGATCGCGGCGGAAGGCCCGGTATAGCAGTTGCCGTTTCCGAGGGTGAAGACGAGAATCAACACTGGGTTCAAAATAAGATACCCCTACACCATTATCAGGTGGGGGACGTACAATAACTTTTCAAAGATCGATCCCAGTTCTGTCTCGTTTCCATCTAGCGCTCCAAACTTGTAACCAAACGCACCTGAAAATGTGCAGATTAAAATCCATGAATTAGGGAAGGCAAAATAACCGCAGACTTTCTCCTATGACATCCAAAGTTATTTTTGGAAGCCAGCTCGAGACATTGATAACAGTTTCCCCATTGGCAGCACCTTCGATCTGCTGCTGCCATATTGCCGCCAGCTGGCCAGCACAGATCTTTAGTTAGTAACAGACGGAGGATTCAGTGAATCAAACTTGCCCTTGAAGTAGAACGTTGAAACAATTCCAGAAACTGCCTTAGCTGCTTCGCAGAAAATGCTGGATTGAGAGCTTTCCTTTGCCGGTTATGAATTTCGCCTGAGAAAACAATGAGGAAAGCATATATTTATTTAGAAAGTGATAACATGCCGTCGACGTTCACAATGCCGTGTCCAAGCAGATAGCTGGTGATCTGCTTCATGTCCTGGGGCTTAGGGAAACGGTACCTTGATAAGGAGACGGATTTCAGATGACCACTGACGTGCGTGAAAAAAGGCCCACCCGCTGGTGTGAAGTATATATTGTAGAGCTAGAGCTGGACTTTAGACCATACTTCTTTGTCCCTGAACTGATAGTCGAATTACCTCGAGGATCAGATATCATTAGCATATCTTCCTGTTTCGCTGTTTCATCATTCATAAATTAACTGCAATGTGAATTTCCACTTACGGAAAAATAACTTTTGCATCGGAAAGCAGTTCCGTATTCCTTAAACCACTTGGACTCGAGGTGACAAAGCTCCTGTAAGTAAGGTATTAAAAAAGTATAAGATGAAAAAGAAGATTGAATGAACCTCTTGGTAAAGTAGTTCATAATCCGCCCCTAAAATGCTAATGGTCAGTGATACGATAGACAAGAACGACAAGAATGTACCCAGGAAGATCGACTTTCTCGGGGGACCTCTGAGATACTTCAACGATTTGCGCAGATGCCGATAGATTAGGCCACAGTAGAAGATATAGGCGGTGGGTATCAAAACAAGTGCAAGGATGGCGCGAGTGGTAAAGGAGAGCATTTTGGGAACTACGAACAAAGTGAACTTCCCGAAACATTTAAATATCTCGATGTTGTGGGAAGAGAAGACACTTCCTTGAAGGAAGTACGGGCGCCGAGAAGTAAGCCATCCTACGTGAAAATAGGAGAAAAGGCGCGTTACAATGTACAACGCGGGAAAGATTTCCAAGGTGGAGACTCGAATGCATGGCACGACGTGATCTTGACGGTACCTACTGCCCGGTGATATTTTAAGTGACAAATAGAAAAAGAGTCCAGAACGACTTTAGGATTCCCGATTGACGTCTGAAATTCTGTAAGTAGGCATAGTAGGAGCAAGCACTTGGTCTATCGGTTCATGCATAGATCTATCCATATGTCTACCCCACAATTTCAAGTCTTTAGTTTTGTCATTTTCTTTGATCCAAGTTCACTTCGAAGCTGGGGAGGATATTTCAGGAAAGTGGCAGTTTTGAAAATGGATGCAATGATGACCTGGTCATCTCGATTGTGCCATGTCCTTACCGTGTCCTTACGTTGAGGCGCAGCATCGAGGAATCTTGGGCACTGATGTGCTTGAGCTGTCACTGATAATTTCGAATGTTACGGGAAAAGTGAAGCCGTTACAATTGGTAATGAGGTAATCGTTATTTGACAAAAATGAGACGAAATTCAATGGGATAAGATAGGTCGATTCGGAATAGAAGAAATGGATAATCAAAGGATTATGTTTAATCCTAGTTTCCGAGTGTTTGGCTGAAGCTTGGCTCCGGTCACAGGCGGTTTTCCAATCCTGGAGTGGACGGTTCTGAACCAAACGCTGAGTATAGGTGTGGGTGGGTCGGAGACGAAAAGTACACAATGTACGCGAGTTGCTCAGCGCGGTGGTGGGAGTTTGTCAAGAGTTTGTGCCTAATTGCAACCTAATTGGGCGGTACGTTACATACTTCCCACCACCGTATCTTATCTAACATCTTATCCTCTGTCAAGGCTGCTTTGAGGCTGCCTGTCTATACATGAATGGAGAAAGGCCCGAGCATGTCAGCCATCCGGGCATACACGGCCGCCACGACTGGAATCTGAGCTTTCACAGCTTTTCTTGAGCTAAAATTAAGGGTGCAGAAGGTGCATGATAAAAATCATCCTCCCATTCTCTCTCTCTCTTGCCCCTGGCCTCAACTTTATAAAATAGAAATCGCTCGCTCATCCGCAGACATAGATCAAGCCGAGGTGTGCGGAACGTAACCGACTCGGAGGTGAAGCATACCGTAGCATCATCACTGCTTTCGGGCGATGTATGAAGTAAAGATTTTGGAGGCCTTTGCTTACTTCTGTTCCGACAGGTTCGTCGCTTGAGTGACAGTTTACATTCGTACTCACAGGAAATATTAACCGAACAATCAAAATGAACTTTTGGTAATACTTCTTGAAAAGCATCATCAAAAGCACCAAAAGATCTCCGCAAAGATTACAGCATGTCAAAGCGACCTCTACGATGTCAACTATAGACATTCAGTTACCACAGAGATAATATATAGTGACCGCCAATCCAGTAAACATTAACCTACTGCTGACATGGATGGGTTAAGAGCTCCCTCTTGTAGCCTTTGCACCGCCAGGCATGACCATGGTCGGTGGCAAAGTCGTTATCGGGGGCAACAACGCCGCTGCCGTCGTTCTCGCATTCTGAATCAGCAGATGATCCATTACGACCAGTGCAGCCATCGCCTCGACTATAGGCACTGCGCGGGGAACGACACAGGGATCGTGACGGCCGCGAGCAGCGAGGGATCCCGGAGTACCGTCGTATTGGGCTGTGGCCTGGGCTTGAGAGATAGTTGCTGGAGATTTGAAGCCGATGCTAGGGAGAGACAGCAGTTGAGAGGGGGGGAAAGGCTTCGACGTGAGCATGTGCAACTGACCGGAAGTAAATATCCTCCCCGTTGGTGATTCCGCCTTGAACACCTCCGCTCCAATTGGTCTCCGTCCCTAGCCTACCGTTTTCACGAACGACAAATAGATCGTTATGTCTGCTCCCAGGGACTTGAGTACCGCGGAAGCCTGAACCAATTTCGAAAGCTTTGGTGGCGGGTATGGAGAGCATAGCATGTGCGAGAGTGGCTTCGAATTTGTCGAAACATGGTTCACCGAGACCTGATGGGACATT